TGTTTATGCACTTCCCAATGATGGGATATTCTACTGCATTTAATTTGAAAGTTACTAACCTGAATTAAGTTGTTTGACAAGTGATGACATTGCATTCGTCACTGAATCCGCAGCAACTAGCAGATCATTTCGCAAGTTCCTTGACTGCCCGAAGGCTTGCTTGACATCGCCACCAACACCAGTTAAGGAATCCCCAGGCGTTGATGGGGCAGATCGCACAGCGGGAACAGGGGCTTGCATTGGTGGGGAGCGGGGGCCCATATTAGCTGCCCGTGGACTGCTATTTGGGGTGGACTTGGGTGAACCGCCATGGCTCTGTGAAGCAATTATATCCGAAGACTGAAATGAACAAAGTGATACAAGCAAACAATATAAGAATAGAGAGAAGGAGACAGTAAATGGAGGGGAAAGGGTGGGGAGATACAGTGACACACAGACACACTGATAGTTCATTATGAATGTGATCCAGTCATAAGGTTTTGTATACTGTTAACTTTCAAAGATTGTCGATCAATATGACTTTCAGAAAACTTGACTAGAAATACTCATTTTGTAATGTATGCTTCAAAATTACAGTAAGAATTATATTTATACCGAGTATAAAATACTACCAAAATTTAAAATGCAATAAAGACATTTTTTTCATTTTGACTATGTGACTTAGAACACATTAAAATTGGGAAAATTCAGACTAGCAACAGACATAAAAGCATATGAATGTTATGAAACATGGACTGCAAATAAAGGTATATAGAAATGTTTGTTTTTAAGTAACCATGGTAGAAACAATGAGACTCAACTACAGGTGTTTGTACTTTTTGAATTGACGCATTAAAGAACTTTGTTTGTTTTGAGGGGTGTCAGCACCTGTTGGTTGACAGTCCCCAAGTATTTTGAGAAGGAAGAACAAGTCATAGTAAACACTAGGGTAGGAAATTCAGCAGATGAAATTAAATCTCTACAGAGGGATGAGCTTTGATATGGTTAGAAAGACAGTACCCAGGGTATTTTTGCACACTTATTTTAGTGCAGAGTTTAGAAGTAAAAGAAAAAAACATGGCCGCTCACTGCAAAGAGCAAACAGGAAAAAATAACAGATTGTCATCACACTTTGGAAAATAATGACAAACTTGAATCAAAGAAAGTTTAGAAAAAAGCTCCTGTATGCTAAGAGTATTGGAGGCATGAATCACAAACCAGGAATACTGTATTTACTAAGCACAACTTTGATGCATGATTAAACAGAAAATGAATTTATTGCATGCAAAATCAATATCAATATTTTGACCACAGACCTTTGTATGAGATATTACAGTTATGCATATTGATGAGGTCACATGATTACAGTTATGCATATTGATGAGGTCACATGATTACAGTTATGCATATTGATGAGGTCACATGATTACAGTAATGCATATTGATGAGGTCACATGAACCCATTTAGAGAGTAATTAATATACAGGGATTTTAACTGGACTGATTTCAACACGAGTCAAAAATAACATCAAATATTTTATGTAAGAAATATATTGAAAATTAGTGACTGGATTTTAATAACAACAAAAATAAGGTCAAAACCATAATATGTACTTTGAAAACAAACAGAATTCATGACTTTGACCTAAGTTACTTAGGCCATACTCAGCTGCAGACACAAACTGACTTTAACACTTCGAGTGCCAAACTCAACTTTCATATGTTTCAAATATTTTGTCCATTAGATCCAAAATACATGGCACCAAATGTGGCATCAACATTTTGGTGGTGAAAATGTTAGCTCTCAAAGAGATAAAATGCTATGCAATACTACCTTGAGTAACTTCATAAGTCCTTCCAGCTGCACCATTAACTCTCTACGACTATCTTGTAATGCAGCCATCCTCAATTCCAGCTCATCTTTACGTTGCCTTAGTAACCTGAGCTCAGCCAATAACGTGGGATTTCTCTCCATACTGGTAGTTTTCACAGCTTCATCGTGTTCTTGTCGAAGTTTCTGAATTTCTCTCATGATTTCTCTGTAAAAGATAATTTTTTTTTTTTAAAACCACCCCAAAAAATTAAGTCCATAACGTTGATTGTCGGCATACTATTTTGCTCATTTTCTGGAATGGTGCTACACCATGTTTTTCATAATAAGCAGATTTAATGGTTGGTTTAAAAATCCCACACAATGTTTTGATGCCACTATGATACTGTGACCATTGCGTGTCCTGTTTTTAAATCAGTATTTACATATAATGTAGGATCTCGCAGTGAACAAAAAATTGTCTACTATGTACATTTGTAACAATTAACAAATCATAAAAAAATGCATCAAAATTTGCAAATGCGCCAAAGACTATCAATGGCATATTGTCAAAAGTAAAAACAATACCTATTTTTGGCTTCTAACTTAGCAATGAGTTCTCTTTGTTCTTTGTTTCCATCTAAACTTGCAGGAATTTCATTTCCTTGAGTTTCCTGAAAAAGACATTTACAAACTGATTTGTAATAATTTAACGATCATCTGAATATTTGTAGCAGACCCATAATCAGTAGATTAAACAAGATGAAATTCTACCTGGAGTTGAGCACAGATAAAATGAGATTGACTTATATCCTTTGAGTTTGTAAGAGACTTAATGGAAAGGCCAACACTGCTGTACCATTGGTGAGTGTGTTACAGACTCAATGGGAAAGCCAAATCCACAGTACCCTGGGTGAGTATGCCACAGACTGAATAAGAAAGCAAAATCCACTGTACCCTGGGTGAGTGTGCCACAGACTGAATAAGAAAGCCAAATCCACAGTACCCTGGGTGAGTGTGCCACAGACTGAATAGGAAAGCAAAATCCACTGTACCACTGTACAGACTCTATAGAGACAACAAATGCACTGTATCCTGGGTGTGTTTTACAGACTCAATGGGAAGGCCAAATGCACTGTGTCCTGGGTGTGTTTTACAGACTCAATGGGAAAGCCAAATCCACCTTTTTGGGTAACTAGCAATGGTTAAGGTCACCAGCCTCAACTATGCCAGAATTACAATAAAAAAATATACCCATATTGTTCAAACATTACAAAATAAATTATAGAAGTGTATCTAAATTTTGGAGGGCGGAAATCATTGTACCTAAAAAAAATTCTTTGAAGTTTGGTGCAGAATAATTTCTGTCAGTTAGGTAAGGTGACCCACAGATTAAGACGACACTGTTTCGAAACATAGACCCTGTTTTTTAGAATCTATGGTGGAATAATGCATGCTTTTGGATTTCATCTTAAGCAAACAATATGTTTTTCGCCAATATGGAACACAATGTGGTACAAGGACTATGACGCTTTGATTAGTAGAGATACAAAAACATTCCAAAATTTAAGAGAAATCACTGAAAAAACATGCTTGAGTTAAATAGGATTAACACACTTGAAAGTCACACCAAAAGATGCGTAAACACATGGCGGTTTCGTTCTGCGACTGCATTGCATTCGCAGTCAAAGATGAGGTGCTTCACTGTGTTGCAAGCAGGATAGCTGCAGAACATATCATGGTTAATGTTAAAAGTGGACAGAGAATCTCAAAATTTCAGTTTTGTTTGCAGATCAAGTTGGCAGCAAGACAAATTCGAAAAATCAGAGAAAAGGACATAATTCGTATAAAACCAACTTTTTTCACTTGTAGTTGTACACTTTCACCATTCATCCCTCATTTTGGTCATGACCGTTAAAAAAAGAGAACTACTTTTTTGCTCAAAAATTCTGAAACAATAGGCCTTATACATTTTCCCTAATATACAAACAGCCAAAAAGTACCAGGATGTGTGACCTCTAGGGGTCATGTAAAGTACCAGGATGTGTGACCTCTAGGGGTCATGCATAAGGCCTAATGGGACAGAACAGAATTGAGCATGCTATACGAGTTGCAACAGGTAGATAAAATTCTGAGATTCAAAGATTAGAAAACTATCAAGCTAGCTAGCTATCCAGCCATCGGTAATACCGGTAATATCGGACACTCTAGAACTTACTGGCCATTGACTTCCAGGAATCGCAAGCTGGTCATAGCTAGAATCAAAACTAGAGTCGGGATCAGTCTAAAAAAATCAAAAATCAGCATAATGAACACAAAATGAAAACTGCTGAAATAAAAAGATATTACATGCCATGCAAGATTGAATAAAAACTGAAAATAAAATAAAATAAAAAAAAAAAAAATGTAATGTACTGAATCCTACCAACTGTTAAGATCAGCAAAAAAAATAATTTTAAATAAAACAATGCCTTGGTAACCAAAAAAACAAATGCATGCTGGGAGAAATTAAACAAATCATTCAAAAAAGTTTCTAAATTTTTATGAAGGTAATTGTAGTGAGATAAATATAATGATAGTATAATTGTGATCAAGTATCGATGAGAGCAAGGGTTCTTAATAGTGATGGTGATAAGAATTTTCAATAAATCAATGAATGTAAACCACATCAAATGAATGATTTTTCATTTTCAAGAATAATACAAAATTGTGGATTTATTTATTCAGAATGTTTACATCTGACACCATCACTGTTAGTCACCCTGGATGTCAGAAAGTTGATAAGATCCTTCTTTACTCACATTACAGTTTTTTGCAGCCGCTAATCTTGCTGCATACCTAGCAATTAGTCGGTGCTCGTCATCTAATCTAGTTGTATCCAACATGCTGCTGTTAAGACTACAAGAAAAATAAATGATTATATAAGAATTTATCATTTAAATAATTCACTCAAATTCAACAAACTAATTTTCTGCATATAAAATCTGTTACCAAAATAGATAAAGGGCAGTATGTCTTTATGATGTTGCTTATGGCAACATAGAAGCAGCATAACATTTTATTTCACATAAAAAATATAATCAAAACAGTTTAAAAGTGTGATGTTAACTTGAGTTGCAATATATAACTCACAAATACTATCATTAAGCAATATGTAATCTGATTAATGATTCATGAAACATTTGATCCAGACAGACAAGGTAACAGTAGTAACTAGGGTAGTGATCTATGTACTGTCACGCTGCGGAAATAAGCTTTTGTTCAGAAACTAACTTTCTTAGAATTCCCCAAAAAATTGGATTGAATTTGTCGTTATCATCAGCATGTCGCAATCATATGTTCTATTTCACACATTACATCAGTTCTATTTTCAGTAAAATCTCTGAATAATGACAAACACGGTAGAGGAAGCAAGGTAAAATGGAAGTATTATTATAGTAGAATGCTTATCACTCTGGTTTGCAAGCTGTGTATTGTACTGGCTCTTGCATGTCATTGTATCCTATGACAAAACTACCACTACCACTGCGCCTCAATCTCTCTGTCCAGGAGCCAATCAGACACTGTTTAGGAATGTGAATCGCTCTTGTTGCAACCAAGATTGTACACTGTATTTTAAGATGGTTTAACTCAATAATGGCCAAATAAAAGTGGTAATACTGTTTGTATTAATTTCCGGAAAGACAAATTGTTGAGTTTTAAAGACAAGGATTCACAGTGACTTTTGTAGCAGTGAACATTTCACTGGAGTCATTAAAACAAGGAGTCACAGTGCTTTTTGCCAAATTTTGTTCGTATCAATCAAGTTATCAAAACACATCAATTGATGTTACTTACCGTCTAGATTCACTATCAATAGACATGTCCTTCCTACTTGTCTCAGACATATCATAACTAAGATTAGTAACAGGTGGGGCAGGCCTGAAATAAAATCATTCAAAACAACTTAAAATTTTCACAGATGGAAAGTTTACAGTGATTCAGAGATTGACAGAATGGCCGACTCAATGAGCAGCTGCTTTACCAGGGATTGGTTTCTGATGATGATCACCATGGCAACATGTTTCAAAATATTATCAAAATGAACATAACTGGACACAAATGTGCAGAAGATTGAGGTTGATTCAAGTGTTGATTTCCACTTACACAATGTGAGATAAATCTAACGGTTGTTCTGGCTGATCTGGAAACTTTGGTATCTGTTGGTGATCTTTAGACCTGAATGGTTTCTTCAGAGCTTTACTTATTTTTTTTGCGGGAGATTTCTGATTAATAAAAAAGAATAAAACAAAGATAAAAAAGAATTATTAGATAAAAAGTACTGACAAAAACGGTTACCTGCTCCTCTACCTTGACCCCTCCTTTAAAACAACAAATTCAAATATATGTGGCCCAAGATACTACATGTATATAGTACCGTAAAATCTGTATCAGAAGCCGCATCCCGAATAGAAGTCGCACCAATTCTTTTAAATATTTGAGAACCAAAAATTCATCATTTATCATGTGTGTAGATGCTCTAATAGAAGCTGCATCCCCTCTGTTGCATTGTTACAGTACCATTTTAATAGAAGCCGCGGTTTCTACTACAGATTTCACAGTACTATTTATACAATTATATTTGCTGAATTGCAAACATTTTCATGTGAAATATATAACCTTGTTTGGACTAGCAGTAGGACAGAATGCCAAGGATATTTGTTGGTAAACAATGAAGGGCTATGTGCAGAAATAGGAATGGGTTTTATAGTGAGTGCTAAAAAAAACTGATCAGTAAAACTGTTATCTCCCTATCAATCTTTCTTGCAAAAATTGTAATATTCCGCGGAACATTGCAGCGGAGCAGTGTTTGTTTCGACTTTTCACTTTCAAATGTATGAAATTTGAAAATGGTGGAATTATTGAATCATTGAAAGTTCTACATTTGAATATCGTCAATTACAAGTTGATCAGACAAGTAAACAAAATTCAACAGAACTATTTAATGTGTAACAATAAGCATAGAATGGTTGTGATAAGGTTGGGACAAATCGCTTACATAAGTGGAATATTCCTTCATTTCATGGTCACTACTATGACTACCAGAAACGTTACCACGCCAAAAACAATTCTGACATAGCTGGTAGTTGTAACAACGCTGGCATTTATATCGGAATCCCATCATATGATCACCTCGGCAATATGCACACTCCACCGGATGGAAAACTGTGAACAATGAATATTTATTAATTAATAACAATTTTGATAATGTATTGATCTTCTGCTGATTCATTATCACTTAATAAAAACTGCCTCAATTTCATGGGATAACAATTTTTTGACCACAACATTTGAAACAGACAGAATCCTGGCAGTTTCCTGCAATGTACACAAATTTAGTCCATCAAAAATTTCCCATAATACTATTTTAGACATCACTGTATATCGCCGATGTCTACACAACATGGAAGTGATCTACATGTATCAACGTTGTATACGATCTGTTGGTGAAAAACTGCATTTTTAATTTTTGGAAAATAAACTGAGCATTTTTATGGTGAAAACAGTTCATTGTTGAAACTGAGTTTACCCATTTTCGCTAGTCACAATAAAACAATGTATTCTTGAATAGGCATCAGCGACAATGAAAAATCTAATTTGTAATCTAATTTAGGTGACAGGAAAAATTTAAATGTTCCAAAAGTGACACTTAAATTGAAATATTTTGTTAGTCACATAATCACAATAAAGCTATATTAATGCTCACAGAGATTGGACAAAAATTACTTGACTTATCCTGGCCACAAGAAAGCGTTAACGACAACAACGACGTAGACATGCTAACACTTGTACCTTCCCACATTATTATCATTACAGGCAAGGTAAGATTACTTTTTATTCATTTTGTAAGACTCACCGTTTTCTACATTTGCCATCCTGTGCATCAATGGCAACCACATCATACACTGTGGACCAGGATCTGACATCATTGTATCTAAAAATTCATTTAGTGTTATTTTTTTATTTGCCTGTGAATAAAAAAAAATATGTTAAGACTGGAGAGGCACCAGCTGCATTATAGTTAGGTGTAGTTGATTTAATCTTTGTATTAAAAGTGTTTGCCAAATTCATCACATTTGGTCTATTTTGGGTTTTAGTAGGAGTTGGTTAAAACCAAAGTCCATTTAGCTGAAATAATTATAGTCATAGGATAACTAAATGAATTACCGGCTGCTAGTTGACACTTCACAACTAACAAAATACTGACTGCTGCCCTCTATATCAACTGTTGCTATTCCTTTGCTGGTTCCCGGCGTCCTTTGCGAATGACAAGTAGGGCACAGGTAACTAGTAATCGCTATATTGTTCTACAGGGCTGGAAGGCACATGACTGAGTGACGTAATTTGAAAACATTCCAAGTTCAGTTCTGCATAAACGTGTCTGTAATACTACAATAAACCCATGCTCATACATGATACATTCTGCCTGTTTAGACTTACATATTTGAGATGTTTCTGACATTCTTCGCTGTTTTTGTGCAAATTTATAACAAAAGAAACAGTTTTTTATTTGCCCAAACTTTCGAAAGTAAAAGGAAACCCCTGAACGGCCATGAGAAAGTGACGAACCAAGCAGAATGCCGGAACCGTTACTAGTTACCAGCCTCTTGTGG